ACTGGTGGTGACCTCGAGTGGCGCAGAGAGCCGTACACTGTGTGCGCTGTGCCGCTGAGTGACACGTGTGGTTCCGTCTCTGCGGGGCGGCGTATGTGTGAGACGAGCGAGTCCCCAGGGCCAGCGTCTGTGTTTATGAATCTTACCCGCAGGGGAATGTACATAGTGGATGTGAGGTTCTGCTTCATCGCAGCCAACGTGACGATCGGAGGGCGCACCTACACGCACATACAGGATTTGTTAAAGGATGTCTGGGATGATTCGTCGGAGGATGATGGTGAGTCGACCAGAGGAATGTCTGGTGGAGTCATCGCCGGGATTGTCATTGCCGGCGTCGTTTTGTTGAGTGTTCTGGTTGTCGCTGTGCTGTATGTGTTGCGTCAGCGAAGGAAGAACAGAAGGGAGTCACCAGACTCTGGCACACCACCCTCGCCAACGGTGCCACACCCTGAACAGAAGAAATCAAATCCCCTGACAACTGTTTCTGTTGGTAGTTCCCCGCACACACCACCACCCACGCCTGTTCCTCCGCAAGACGATGGTGCTGCCCAGGTGCCTGTTGCTGAGCAGCCGAGCAAAACAATGGAGCGGCACATGGACCCCACAAATATGCAAGAGGTGATGGACGGGAATTCGGTTCCTTTGATGGACATACACCAAAAATATGCAATGGATGCAACGGAAAGTGTTACGTCTGCTAATAATACGACTCGTGAGAATGGGACAGAGAATATGCGGGCAGTTCGTACTAATCCTAGAGTGGAGTCGCTAGAACTTGTAATGAGGATGGTGGCGAACCATGTGACGGATATTTTTGGCACGCTGAATAACGAAAGGGAAGGTGACGGCATTCCACAAACAATGGCTGTTTTTTCGGTTTGTAATGCAGGGGAAGAATTATCCGATGAGTCATTGTTGGGGTCATCCAACGTGGCGGAGCCGCCATGTAGTAGTTGTCGTACTCCTTCATCTTCTAGTTTGTAATGTGTGGTTCCAGAAAGTGTTTCCCAACGCTCCCAAACGGGTAAAAACCTGTGTTTCTTTCGTCCGGAGAAAGACATAATCACTCACCCTGCCGAAATATTTAAGGAACTGAGGGGGTGCAAGGCAAAATATCCTGAGAGACGGAAGGCTCTTTACAGTAATTACTTGGCTTGGGGGATGAGAAATCGTGAGCGCGTAGAGGTGTATATGGTTAACTTAGATAGAGCGGCGATAAAGCTTTACGCTCCAGTCAGTGGAGACTGCGATTGGTTCTATGAGCCTACTTCTATGTGTCCACCGGATGATCACGATCCATTAAACAAGAAGGACACGTGGGATGTGTCGGTTTGTGTTATGGAGGTGATTCATACTCTGTCAATGCTTTGCCCATAGACACAACAACACGAGAGGAAGAAGGAAATCTACAAATCCTGAGCCCCATGCCGTCCGCTGTCATTGTTCCTGTTACCACTCTGAAGGGTGCTCCTTCCCTTTGCCCAGCATCCGTCCATCGTAACAAGGCCTGGGCCAGGAACTGTTTCTTCTGGTGTTGCGTTGGGCGGTGCGAGTTATCCGAACAGATGTGCATGAATGAGGGAGTGTTGAAGGGGTATCGATTCAGATGAAGTGAACTTATCGAAGGATTATATGATAGATTTACAAGAGAAGGAAATACAAGATAAAATTTTTCTCTCTGTGTTTTTTTGTTCATGTGTGTATATGTGATCTTGTATCTCTTGAGACCTGTGTGACGCCGCGCGACAGTGGCAACTGTGACGATAAGGCATTTGT